GAGTAGCTGGGCGGGGAGAAGCGTCTCCGCAGGTACTTGAGGACATACAGGGGCAGGCAGCTGACCAGGGTGATGACGGACACTTTCCACAGGAAGGACAAGGTGACGATGAAGTACACATCTGCGAGCAAACGGGGAGACGGCGGTGAGCGGCCCACCTGGGACCCCGGCGCCCCAGCCTCAGAGGGGTCGCCGCTCCTCCGGTGGGAGGGCTCACGCCTCCCATGTGGGATTCCCACGTTCAAGGCCCGGTCCAGGCACCTCACCTGTCAACTAGGAAACAGAGCTTCCGGATAAGGGGACTGGGGGGAAGGGGCTGCAATCTAATTCTGAAAACTGGCTATACTTTGTTCCATTGGCTTGGCTTGCCTCCCTCTAGCCGGCCTCTGGGGAGGATCCTCCCTGGTGGTGCAGTGGCTAAAGTGCCCTGCTGTTAACCTTAAGGTCAGCCGTTCAAACGCACCAGTCACTCTATGGGGGAAAGATGAGGCAGCGGGCTTCTGTGAAGATCTGTGGCCTTGGGAACCCCATGGGGCAGTTCTAATCTATTCTTTAGGAGCGGCTAGGGGGGTGTTGAGATCCACTCAGGCACGATGGGGTTTGCTTTGTTTTGTTTGACCCCATCCTGGGACTTCCTGGTCATCAGTGAGGCAAAGGCAGCCCTGGTGGCTACTGGGTCATGTGTTGGGCTGCTCACCACAAGGTCAGCAGTTTGAAACCACCAGCCGCTCTGTGGGAGAAAAGTGAGTGAGTCCCGGAAGGACACCACCAGGGGTGGGTCTGCTCTGTCCTACAGGGAAGCAAAATGAGGGGGTGGGGGAAAGCCTGGCGGGGTTTCTGACTGGGGCCCAGCAGCAGCATAGACACACAGAGAGGGGGGCAGCGCGTGCACACTGCCGCTCCCTCCCTTGTCCGTCACAAAGGCACGGACGATCCCAGCGTGGACCCACAGGCCAAGATGCTCCCATCAGACGGGCTGTCCTCGGGGGTCTCGGACTAGGGCCACCAGCACTCCTGCCTTCTCCACAGCTGCCAGTGGGAACCTGGAAGTTAGGACATTTCTGCAGGAGGGGGGCCATGCCTCGGGGCATCCGCCACTTACAGAGAGGACGCCAGAGGGAACACCAGCCCATGCCCTAAACCTGGGGTGGCCGTGTCCTGGCTGAACACAGTGGGCAAAAGGCAGCTACGGCATTTCCCGGTGCAGCCTAGGTGCCTAGACCCCGGTTCGACCCACCATGCACAGCCCCCTCCCCCTCCCCATGGGCCTCCATTCTCCAATCCTCCTGTGACTGGTGTAAGGCAGCCGAGCTTTAGGAGGGAGAGACTTCCTCTGAGCACATCATAGGTGCTCAGGGCACACGATCGTTCCCAGTGCTTTCCGGGAGAAGCAGAAAGTGTTCCTGGGCTGGGCTTTCCACAGGATGTCTGTCTTCTCCCACCCCGGGATTCTCTGGGAGCTTCTGAAGCTGAACAAGAAGAAGCCTGGGAGGCAGTTTCCCAGCCTGTGGGGACTGCTCCACTGGAGTCTTCTGTGCGCATTTCCTCCCGAAGATGGGCCCCTCTGCCCCCAAAGAAACCTCGGTGAGTCAGTGGATTAATCGTTCTAAACCCACCAGCCGCTCTGCAGGAGAAAGACGAGGCTGTGTTCTTGTTAACACGAATCTACCGTCTCAGAAATCCTAAGGAGCAGTTCTGTTCTGTCCTACAGGGC